TGGTAAAGTTATCACTGAAGTGGATGGTTTCTAATCATCCTCATGACACCAGCAGTTGTTCTTTTATTTTGACCTCTTTTTCAAAAAAATGAAACTATGAACTTGTGAGCTGCTCCTAAAGATTTATTGTTTCACTAAAAACAAACAGTCTTTTAATGCGATTTATTCACAATAATTTATATAATAACTTAAATAGAATTTTAACAATCTATAACTGTAAAAATGTTGTTCTATGCATAAATTTGTTGCAGTGTGGCTAAATCAGGCCATCAGTTTAACAATTGAAAATATACTGAATCTGGTGATACCCTGATAACGATCAAAGCACTTTTCCAATAACTGAATCTCACCTCTACATAGGGGTAGAAGCACGTCTGGCCTAGGCTCTCCCAGTATGCACCTGTCTCAAAGCGCAGCTTGTACATGCCGGGAGTAAACGCTTCCCGGCTGATGAGTGCTGAGCAGCGGCCATCCTCATTTGTTGTCCTGAAAATTATTAATAAAGCACAGTGTTATGAACGTCTTCTTCGACCTCTGCTATTTTTCAACTTCATCATCTTCTTGTTTGTCACAGTTGGTCTTTCTGGAGAAATTTTAATCTGACTTAAAACTAGACATACCTGTAATTATTCTTATCAGTGCAGTCTGATTTAAAACTACTCTAAGTTTAAAGTCTGTGTTTTAAAGACAAGACTGATGTCAGAGCCATTACCCTGGACCTTCACTCACAATGTCTCCATCACTTCATATAGTACTTTATTTGTAAGTGTCTAAATGGAAGCCGCTGTGACTGATTCTTAAACACTGTTCAAAGAAAACTAAAACTGCTTTGGCTACAATTTATTACCATTTTCAAACACAATATTCATTAGAAAAAAACATTCATTAAAGATGAAAACACACATATTTAAAGCATACCCAACACTCAGCATGGTCCAGATCATCAGATTGGAGTCCAGGCGGTGCAGACTGAGGGCCATCCTGGTGCCTGGAACGCCATCGCCAGTGTTTAGCACATGAGTGGTCAGAGGGCTGGATTCTTCTGCCGCCATAATCTGATGGACACGAGTGTACAGGTCATCTTTTGCTATAGGACCTTTAATTACAGCTTCTGTGTGAAAGGGACCATGGGAAGTGCTACCAGATATGAGGTTGCTGAAAGCATACTCATAATTATTTGGCTGCACAGCGCTTATTATTATACAGTCCCTGACAAAAGTCTTGTCACTTATCCATTTTGTAGAAACAACAGCTTATTCCCTGACTTTTAATTAATCCATTGGTTTTAGAAATGGCTCATATGAAAGCTAAATCCCTCCCACATTATGTTTAATATACTAAAATAAATTTGCTTCACTGAAGAAAGATTAATCATTTAATGAACACAGAAAGGTCAG